CGGAACTTCCTCTTCTTCGTTCAGGTCCTCTTCTTTGGGGCCTATTCTAACGCCGGTGTCCTCTTCTTCCCCATCTACAATATTTGTATATGTGATAAATTGCTTCCTATAACTCCCTATGTTGTCAGAATTCATGTTTTCTTGGGCTTGATACCAAAAATTCGATTGAGGGCAAAACATGTTTATCTGTGATTAAAGCTAGCGCCTAAACCATTGAGTCGATTTTCTTTAAAATTGATATTCCTCGATCGATCTGAACGAACTCAAGGTTCTACAAGTTTGAAACACTATATATTTTGAGATTTGATTTACTTTACATAAAGCCTCAACATTTTCAAAATGTTCTCAAACATGGCACCAAATTTGTTCTTTAAGTTTTTCCTCTAGATAGAAGAAAGATCGCTTAAAAATGAATGAATTTGAATTTTCGAAAACTGAGAAAAAATTAAGATTCAACATTGATTGACATTTTTTACTTAGAGAAATATGTTCTTTAAAATAATATCTTTCAATAAATTTATTTTAAAATAATTTTTGTAATTATCGAATTGCCATATTCGAATTTCCCGCATTTTTTTGCTAAATCTTTCAGCATACCGATTTATTAGAAAAAAGTACATAATATTCGTTCTCTCCATTTCGTATTTGAAAATATTAAAAATGTTCTCTTTGATCGCCATTTTGATGAAAAAATTAATTCTTCTCTCTCTAGTCTCTCAAGATTCCCACAAGTACTAATACTCTTAGTACTTATGGAAGTAATATATTTTGTCTTTTATCCTCTACCATTTTTAATGAATCTTAGCCCCAGTAATATTGAATTTTCATTCTTAATGGTTCGTATACCCCTAGAGCTTCTGTATCAGCTAAATTGTATTTTTAATTACACATTGATAATGTTCTTCAGTATTACAAAAATCCGTTTATTGTATTTGTGTTTAAAAGTTCATTCCTCAATGACTACTTCATGATTTCCCAACAATCCCCAATCTTTTCTTCGGATGGTCGTACTCGGCGCCTCTTTAGTTGTTGTTTTTTTATTGGCAGTTTATCCTGAAAAATATTGAACACTGGCAGTTTTTGTTTCGTATTTGGAATGCTCGATTTCACAGACCCAATTCAAAACAAACTAGGTCTTTTATTACCAAAGAGGCTGACTAAGTCTAGATCTACGCAAGAAGGTTCAAGTCTAAACAATGTGATATACAGTTTGATAAACCCTTCTTTCATTTAATGATATTTTGCTGTGTGATTGATTTGCTCATTCAAAAATTAAGTATTCAGTAGTCACAGAAAAGGTTTTAATTTCAATATTTGAAAATTTGATCGAATATTGTTTGCACTTAATTTTACATAACAAGATTTGCAGTAAATAACGTAGAGCAAAAGAAATAAAATTGTTTTAGTGAAGTTTCTCCAAGTTATGCTCTATCTGATCAAGCGGATTACAGATTGATATCTTGATTTGATGTAGTTTCGTCAAAGAACGGTGAAAACTGTATGAGATTTGTGGGGTAGTAGTACAATCTGCTCACTTGAGCTCCAGAATTGACCGAGAAGCTGAAGTACATGTTGCAGGCATATTTAGTTATTTTGAAATTATTCAGTATAATTGTTAATTAATGCATTATATATCATTGTTAATATTAATAGTATTGTTCTTTTTTAAGGTCATGTGGTCTAATTGTATAGAAACAATTATGCAAACAGAAAATATTTTACTTGGCACTTAAACTTGTGTATCAATTTTAATTGTTAATATCATCTGACAATGTGTTAAAAAGTAACGTACATCTGGATTTCTTTTCGCAAGCTGTTGGTACTGACACCTGGAGAATATGATTCCAAAGAAGTTTATTGTTATTAGAAATATCTATATTGCATGAAAATATGTTCACTCTCCTCAGTAAGTCAACTTTGACAAAAACTGCAGATTCGTTAATATATAGGTTAGGTTCTAAGCTGAATGAGGAGAAACTTACAGTAATCACATGCATGACCTTTGCTTATTATTTGAACATGTTTTTAAAACTAGCACTGCGCGTTTAATTTAGAAATGCCACTGTGTATCTGGACAATATTATACGTATTTATTACTTTCTCTCTACGGAGTAGAGAAAAAGTTATGTATTGCTGCGCGGAAAAATGGCGAATTTTCGGCAGAAAAACCCTTGTTACAGGGACATGATAAAATAAAACTAGATAAATTCATTCGCTAAAATTAGAAAAAATTCTTTTAATTCGTGGTGTAGCCAGAATCCCTCTTTTGTGGGTCCTTGATACCGAAAAATCTAATGACGGCAAAACGTCTATCCGTTCGTTCGCCTGTAAACTATAGTGCTACCGGCTAAATCGCACAGCTGATTTTCTCCAAAATTGATATTCCCTAATAGATCTGGATGATGCCACGTTCCCCTTGAATTTGAAACCAATATTTTAATTTTGGGGGGGTACTTTACATGAAGCCCCTGGGGCATTTCAACAAAAAAATGGAGTCATCATTTTAAATTATGTTGTTGGATAGTATGGAGGACGTTTAAAAGAATGATGCAGGTCTCAAGTTCGTTGAAAACTCCTATTTTTCGAAAATTGCAAAAGAACAGAATTTTTTTCGAAGTCTTCCTACAACTAAAATATTAAAGATTAAGATATTAAAGAGTTTTTTCCTTTAATAAAATGTGTTCCTTACAGATAGGTTTTGAAGATCATGTATAATTTTTGAAAAGTTTTGAGTACTTTTCGCGTAATTTTGCGTGAAATTACTGGCGAGAAAGTACGTGCCGTTTCAGCATCACTAGTTATTTTATGTAAAGGAAAACCAAAACACAATATGTGCTGCAAGGAGGGGAAAATCTGTTGCACAGCTAGCACTCCAAATCCGGGTCTACTCAATCCGCGTCGCGTCTGGGGCTTCACGCTAAGCCAGCCCCAGTCCAGCGGGGCACCTGGCCACTGCCCGTCTGGGGAGCGGCGGCTACGCACTGCCCTGCACCCCCGCGCCGCGCCTCACGCGTGCACGCGTCTGCCGCCCGCACGCGCACGCGGTTCGCAGGGGCGGCAGGCGGGTGCGTCTTCCCGGCCGCCGCGCGCGCACGCACCCGCCCTGGCCCCGCACCGCGCGCCCGCCCGCTTGTAGGGCTGTCAAAGCTGGTCCCTCCGGGGTCTGTTATTGATTGCGGCCGGGCCGGGGGGCGGCGGAGGCGGCGGCGGCGGGCGCGCCGGGCGTCGAGTAGCGAGGCTCCGTCCGCGGCCCGGACTCCGATTTCGATCTAACCCGGCCGCGTCGCCTTGTGCGTAAAATCTCGCTCGCGTGACGCCTGCAGTTCCATCTGCGGGTAGCGAGCGTGCGGACCGCCCGGCACCTCAACGCCCGGCGCTGTGGACTGGACCTGTTCGCTCGCTGGGCGCCGCCAACTGCCGACGCGTTTGCTTCCTGCAATAGGTGCGTCCTTTACTTTTTTGTGCTCGCGCCTGTCGTTTGATTGTTGTGCTTGAACGGGAACTGCTATCGCGGAAAGCTCGTGTGTGCGTTCCCGAGTCGAACCGGGGCTGTCTTCGGTTCGCTTCGCCGGACGAAGCAGACGTGGGCGTGACATTTGGCACGCCTTCCGCGCCGCTACAGAGCGGCGAGGCGGGTGGAGGCGGGTCACCGTGCCGACTGCTCTTGAAATGTCATCCCCAGCGGATCAATGTAGTGACTTTGACGTCTATAACGCAGTGCTTGTTTGAATGCATGTTTTTGTCGGAAATAATGTGTGTACCGTCTGTACGAAAGGTTGTCGACGACGGATTGTCAATAACATCATTTGCGGAAGGGAATTATTTTAAAGCGGATGGCTCCTTTCAAAAATTCAAATACCAGTGTCTTTGACACCTATTCAGTATGGTGCTTTGTTTGTTAATTCTTCAATTTCTTGCAAAAAAAAAATGACTAATAAATACATGCCGAAAAGTAACATAGGACGTTCGAAACGTAATCTGGTCGTTTTGAGGTGATAAAATTGACAGCGTTGCCAATTTTGTTATAAAATGGAATAAGTAGCTTCTTTTTTTTATTTGGCATTACTTAGTTGAAATGTGATGTGCTAACAATATATTTCATTAATCAAAGTTTGTAAATTTTTGTTTTTCAAATATTTAAGAAGAGAGGTGTATGAATGATTCCTTCTGAAATACACAACTAATAACACTTTTATTCAGTTGATCTGCTTATAATTACAAGATGTGACAAAGTTTTCTTTTTTTCTTAAAAAAAACACATCTGCATTTTTCTTTAATTATTCAAAATTCATTTTTTATATTTTTCGTCAAATGTTTGACTCTTTCTTTGGATTGAGAATATTAATTCATTAGAGTTGTTGGTTATTGGTACATTATTGGAGTAATTTTATTTTTAATACTTAAAAATGATTGTGAATATTTGTCAATGTCAATTAAAAGTTGTCATTTCCAGCTTTATCAAATAGTATACAATTTAATATGATTGTGGAACATATATATGAATTCAAAACTTTCATTATTAACCTATTTTAATAGAGTGCTTCTCTAAATTAAACCATGTTTCCAAATTTTTCAAAGTGGCCTTTTACAGGCCTAAACTCATTTTTAAAAAATGGTTTTCGTATATTATGGGTTCAAATTGTTGAGTAATATTCTTTTTAATCTTTAGGTATGAGTTTATTCAATTTTTTTTTTCTCCGAAGTTCATGTTAATTGGGTTATTTATTCATCGAGTCTTATTCTTCTTCTGTAAGTTTTTGACAAATATATCTCATTCTTCAATTATTTTTCTTGATTTCTCTTATTCTGGACTGTTTCTTAAACTTTTGTTTTTAAATATCTGAAGAAACTGCCTTCTTTTTCTAATTTAATTCTTTACCAAAACATTCAAATTGCATAGTACACTCTCATTTATTTAATGCCCAGATGAGTAGTATGTTGATAAAATTATAATATATAATGATTTTGATATTTTATTGATTTGTTTTTTTCCTTAATATTCCATAAGTAAGCATCTATCTTTCAATGACCTTTTCCTATCGATTTTTGTTTTTTTTTGAGAAGTTTATATTTTTGGCTTCAGTGTGGATTTTAATTTTTTATTACAATTTGTCCAGGTACTGCTTAACCGTCAAAGATCATCAAGCTGAAAATCAGTTTATATGCGTCGTATAATGATATCTGTCTTTAAACTTCATAAACAATTTTTATTTCTGTGGTGTTTTTAGTGTGTTGATATTTTGTTTATTCTTGCTTCAAACCTTATTGTTGGATATAAATGTTATTTCTGTTAGAGCCATTACTTAGTGTACACCTTTGTGTAGTAAAGAATGCCCAAGATATCTCAATCTATTTTCTTGTGTTTTCTAATTACCTTTTTGAATTCTCAGAAAGCATCCATGTTCACAGTGATTTTTATATCGTATCATTGCATATGGATGTGCATGAAGTTGAATCTGGAGTATTTTATGAGCATAAATTATTGAACATATTTGTGCTAAGTCCAAGTAATAGAACTGTTGTAGTTGAGGTGACTGAATTAAAAAAAAAAAAGATTTTCTTATCTTATTTAAAAAGTTTTGAACTTTTTACATTTACTACTTTAAATTTACAAAAGATGGAAAAATGTTGAAGGTTAGTAGATTTTCAAGCAGATCCATTTTATTTCATGCATAACATCATTATTTTTATTATCTGCAGAATTGGTTCATTACGTTATCAATTGCCAAAGTTGGAAACTTGCCCAGAAAATAGGTCAGGGTTCTTACTGGTCCAGCATCCTGTTTGTATACTCATACATAACAGATTAAGATCCCACTTGCATCATTCATAATTCATGGTACCTTCCCTTCAACAGCATCTGTAGTGCAAACTTCAGAACACATATTATGTAAATGTTTATTTAATTCATGAAAGCACTTTTTTCTTGAAGCCATGTACTACTAAATCATTCTGGAAAATAGTACTAAAGTATAGATAATTTATCCATAATGTCGTATTCACAATTTATCCTATCCACAATTCATTTTGTGACTACAGCTTTACAGAGAGGTGTAGCTTTATTTTGATGTTTGTTTTCCGATTCTCTGTAGAGGCTAACTAACTGGACAAATTTCTTGTGCAAATCTTGCAATCCTGTAATCTTAATTTTTATAATCAATATTGGCATTTCTGTTTTCATTTTACAAATATGTAGTCAATGTATTTTCTTATTTTTTTCCAATTGTTTTGTGTTCTTTCTATTTCCTCGTAACATTAAACATATTGTTGAATTTGACTTTTCCATTGACAATACGGTATTGTTGTTTAAATTTTCAAGATCTGTTCTGTTTTGGCATCATGGGCGATTAGTTCTCTCAAGGCTGTATAACCAGTAGTTTACTTTCCAAAAAAAACTTCAGATACTGTGTGTGTGTGTGTGTGTGTTTTAACCTTTATATTGTGTGCACTCTGTGCACTAGTAGCAAAATTCAGAATCTAGGAGCTTCAGTATGACTGCACATTGTAATTTTCTATCATTTTGTATGATGGATATGGTATTACAATAACAAGGAAGATAATGTTACACTGAAAAGGTGCTATGAAATATGTAACACCTATCACAACAATTCAGCATTTTTGACAAAGATTTTTTTTTTTAGTTGTATTAATACCATACAATCTTCACCATAATTATAAAGAGAATGACAGTGCATCTACATTTATCTAAATAATGTGCAAGTTCACAGAACTAAGTAGTTTTGTTAGATATTAAAAATGTATTCACGTTTGCACGCATTTAGGAATCAATAATACCTTCATCCTTCATAGGTGCTTAGTTAGAATAAACACCACATTCTATGTATATTGGTAGTAATGTGTACCTACGTGAAAGTGGCCCATTTTCTATTGTCAACCTCTCACTTTAGCATTATAGTGCTTTTCACAATTCAATGCATCATGGAGCTATCTCAGAGGCAACTCTGACATATGCACTTGTATGGTTGTTATAATAAGCAAGCCCAAACGAAATTATGTTCTGAAATGTGATGTGATGTCATTTAAATAAACATTTAATTTACAGAAAATACTGATGATGTTATTTCTCTCACTTCTAACTTATAGATGAAACAGAATCAAAAGGGTACATTTCAACTAGTTTTGGTGCTTTCAAAAACTATTGTAGTTTAAATCAAATAGAAATTTGTACATTTCTATGTCGTGCACCTTCGGAATCATAGAAAAAAGAGATATCGTGAAGTTTTTGTTCTATTATGGGTAATGCTTGGTGAGATTTGAGGAACAAAGTGAGAGTGGAATTACTTAAAGCAGAATTTTCATAAATTTGAACTATGACATGAATGGGTCAAGTTTTATGCTTTCATTAATGGCCAAAAAGAGAAATGTTAACTGAAAAAAACAATTTTTTTGAAAAGTACACTAGAAAATAAGGTCATAAGGACCACTGTCAATATATTTATTTAATTTTATTCATAAAAATTGTCAAATAAGTTTTAGTTTTGTTAAAAACAAAATTTATTTGAATTGGAAATTAGATTGGAAATTATGTATTTGGAAGAATTTATTGCTGTTACCGACTGCTAAATAAGTGAAGTATTTGTATTTGGACAAAGTTTATTATTCATACAATGTGCATCTTTTTGTTAATGATCTGTAGAGATATATCTAGAATTATTTGCACCTCTTTCTTGCACATAGAATGGTACAATTCTTGTCGGGAGACCCAAGTGATTAATCTTTGCTTCATTTGTGAAAGTACATTCTGAATTTTAAAAAATCTTTTTGGATAAATACTTTCTAAATAGTGATCTTTAGAGGGATATTTGATTTCAAATACTAGTGTAAGTTAAACAAGATAAGAGAGAACTCTAGCTGTGAACAAAAATTTCTGGTTTTCAAATGCTTCAAACCACACATTGTTGCTGCCTTCATTCATAATTTAACTATGTTTAGTAAAAGAGTCGATAGAAATAGTAGAGCTTACATAGATACTTCTCTCCCAAATGTCACATACATTACATAAATCGAATCAAACCTAATGACATTCCATAAAATGATTAATGAAATAAGTTTGGCAGAGCAGATTTGTTCATAAATAATAATAATAATAATAAAATAAAAATAAGTTGCTTTGTATTATCAAAGACTGGAAAGTAATATTAACATTAATGATCAATGTTTTTTAAGTAACTTTTTTTTTTTTTTTTGCTTTGCTTATTACAGACTTATTTTTGGGACTGAAAGAGTATACTTACATTAACTTAAAAATAAAATATGATTAAAACTAAGAATTATCTGTAATGTTTGAAATTTAAACGTTGAAAATTCTGCTAACTCTAAAAGGAAGCTTTCTCCTTTCTTTCCTTCTTTTTTGACTTTTTCTTTCTTTATTTCTTGTTTAATTGTTTTAATGGTCTCAGTGCTTTAAATTTTTTTATATTA